AGACGGAAAACGATAAAACACCCCGCTTTCACACAATATTTACCCTGAGTGTCAATCAGCTCCACTTGAGTTCTATTTAGTACCGATTTCACCTCTTATGTTGAAATGACTTGGGTAAATATTCGTGCCGTCCGTGTAAGCCAAAAAGGTATTGATAACAAAAAGATATTGATTGATAAGTTAACGAAAATAAACTTTGTTTCAAATATAGCTAGCGAGGCTCTGTATGCAACACATTATTATCTTAGTTTCTCCGAATACGCGCCCGCTGGGTTTTCCTTCAACTATCATGCATGCTCGTTTCGATCTACGAAAAAATGAATCTACTCGCGATATACGGACGATAAATAGATTGATCAGTGTTAGGAAAATGATTGGAGACATGAGTGGTTCTCTAAAAACCGTAGCACTTTGCGACCAAGTTCCTCGTGCAAACTAAATACGGCTGAGTATGAACTATAGGGATAGACCATTGTGATCATTCATTTTTAATGGTGAGTACTGACCGTTTTACTTCTTCTGCCTCATCCTCACATTGAAACCTGTCTTACAACGCTCATACTCAACACACCCCCTTATATACACACTTATTCCAAGGAAACCTACACACCAAAATAAAGTTTCCCGCTTCGCGGTGTGCATACAAAATAACAGCATTTCAGTAATTTTTTTATTGAGCTCAGAAAAGTATATAACTGCTATTGATTCTTACATGAATGGATCCCTCTGGTACTGAAAAGTGACTCCATCTGCTTTCATCCGGGAGAAGAGCGTTTAAATGACTTTTACAATCAATTTGCACCTCTTATCCGATCTTCTATCTGGTACGTGTGGAATTAGCGCGAGATGAACTGTCCTCACTGAATGCATTTTTAACTTGTCAAAAAAGGAACAAACGACAAAAAGTAGTAGTGCTGAGGCACTACTCACATTTGTGAGTAGTTTGCACCCATCAAGAAGCGGTCATTGAATTCCCATGGAATTCACGAGTGGATTGGAGGATTTACTTTTGTAACTACGGAAAATACGCATCTACTGTCGGACCGTTACTGTCATTGCTGGTAATTGCAATGAGTAACTTTCCTCGTCCTGGCCTTGTCCTGTGGATTTATGACTGCAGTAGTAGTAGTAGTGATAGTTGGTTGTAGTTGGTGGTGGTGGTGGTGGTAGTAGTATTACTGAAGTATGCGCTGAGTCAAATTATGGATGGGGAACTGACCGTCTTGAGTGATCATTTGAATTAAGAATGGAGAGCTAGAATCGTGTTCGTCCTACGAATTCCAATGGACCTGAGCATGTAGGATAGTAAAAACAGTGTTCCACATATGTAGTTCAATACGTCTACTGACATTTTTGTGACAATGTGTTGAATATCAGAATTGCATGGTTGGCATCTAACTTCCAATTTATCCAATACTACTGGATAAGTATGTACAAAAAACAACGAGGGTGTGCACTTTTAACAAGTCCCACTGCTGGATCCAGCTTTGGTCCTACATATCTTGAGTAATATTTGAGAGAGAGAAAAAGCAATTGCTTCCGCTTCTTGAATACATGAATACATAAAAACACATCGAAGAAAGGAGAGGCAAACACTCAGTCAGAAGCTGTGAGCAGTTTAGCGACGATCGTACGATTCGAAAACGCGACCTAAAATATCACGTGATGCTGACCCCTACCGGCCAGCTACTACGGCACAGAATCTGGTTTGGACAGATTGGCTTCGTTTGGTCGGAAAGGCAAAAGAGAATACTGTGAGATGTCCGCATCGCAGTCGCTTATGTAAAGCGAAATAAAAAAATCAAACAACCACTGAGAACGAATTAGATACGGACAGAAGTTTGTATTGCAGTGAATTAGGCTTACAAAGCGTTCATATGAATAACCTGCGATTGGGGAGCACTGGATTACGCAATCTGTTTATCATTATTTGGATCGCGAAATCCTAACCGCTTCGAATTACAATCAAGCAGGAACTTTTAGAAAAGCGAAAATTGAGAAAAATATAGCATTCGCAATCGATAATCCTTGATTTTGATCAGAACAAGCCATTAATGCTTGAAAACATTTACTTTGGAAATATATTCATTGTTATTATTCATTATGTTAAGGTTTTTCGTATAAAGCATATGAAACAAAATTTGATGAACTCTTGTAGTTCCGGTTGGCCAGAGTGCGTTTGAAAACAGTAAACGGCCTGGAGGTGTATGGCTGTATCTGTCTTGTTCCTGTACTGATCAACTAGATACAACGGATACAGAGTACTTCAAGTTCCCGGCAAGCAGAATACCTTTAAACAATCTCTTGATGAGAGAAGAGCCACTACCCGCAATAGAAACCACGCGTATTTAGTCAATCGTTTATGTGAAACCACAACCTCATTTCCTGCCGTCTCCCACTTTTGCAAGTGACGGAGTTTCACTCCTAATTGTTCACTTTCCCAAATAAGAAAGCTCTTCCCGTTTCACCTCCACATTTCCATGAACGTCATCACTTGCACAAACATCAATCCATGGATATGTGGTACTAACAACTCTTAACAGGGATTTAAAAACTGTATAGTATCTACAGCGCATTGCAACGGTACGTGTGACGGTGTCTGATGAACAGTATCTCTAGTATTCAAACTACTTTTACAAAAACTACCGACAAAGAAATCAACNATCAACAGTTCAGTCTGGCAACGGAGCACCAAATTAGTTTTAAAGTTCGATTGGGCATTCTAACGAAAAATCTGCTCCGCAAGTCAGCACATTCACCATTGAAATGAATGAGATAGGCCAATTCACTCCTGATCGAAAGAAGAGATCATATTTTCATTTTCCATTTACAACGAATGCATGGGAATAGGGGTTTGAAGTCAATTGTATGGATTATGAACAACCATTCTCTAAACTTCACAGTCTGGCACCAATATTACAGTTCTGTTTGTCAACCATAGACTTGAGAATTACTAGACTTGTTTTTTTCGCTCTTCAGTAGTGCACATCTACCTCACAGGAAGGGTCTGCGTGTTACCGCTACGATTACCAGCTCACACAGAACTTGACCAGAGATACGTAATCAGTTGTTGTCTTCCAATCAAAAGGTTTCCATCAGATGAAGTCTTCCTCGCAAGTTTGGCGCTTCGCTTTCAAGTGAACTTACGACGATCAACAGTTTGTTCAATGGTAGTACGAACGCATAAAGCAGACGGGGTGTTCGGAGTTCAATCCTAGGTTGATAGATAGATATATACAAATGATGAGCTTCAATAAGAGTGAAACTCAAGGCTCATGCTTCTGGTGTGTAGTGTGACCGATTGGATGAACTGAGAATTGTTTGCGGGAATGAAGTCTGAATGACAGCCGGTTAAAATCAACTTAAAACACTGTAGTCTTATTCGCTCATACAGAAATCTGCTAACCCAAAACACTTAAGGGAGTAGGTAAAATGTATGCAATACTCAATCTCTTTTATCCACTTAAACTTAACCTAGCTATCATTTTTTAAGAACTGAGTGTTCTATGATTGGGTATAGAATAAATAATTGAGCAACGATCCTCCATGTGTGGGTATCCAAGTGATCGCAAACTCCATACTTACGTCTTTATATCAGGCTCCACTACCACAAACAAGCCTTTCTGACGAGACCACACGGGAGTCCGAGCTACGGACTTGTCGCGTTCACCTTGCTCGCTTTCTTCCTAGTGGAAAACGACGCACCGAAATGCGCGGCTGAACGAACAAGTTTGGACATGGTCAGACAATAATAACCCTGTTTATTGACGAGCATCTCACCCTAATTCGATTGTCTTGTTTTTGAGCTGACCCGCAAAGAGCATTCGGCAGGGATGTATGTGTGTGTGTGGGGGGGGTGCTTGTCTAGTTGGCTGAAACGACCTAATGTTTCATGCGACATGGGATCGGGTGGGGACAGGAAAATCATTACAGAATCGAATTGCATTTGGAGGAAAATGAACATCCTCGAATGAGAGGAAATAGCAGAAGTATCTTTATATATGCGCAAACGCGCGTATTCCAGTTGTCTAATCTGCGGGCAGGTTAACTATGATGAGACATTAATCGTGACCCGATTTTCTAACACCCGCATAGAAAAGAGTATCACAATCGGTGAACAAGACGATAGAGTAAACCCATTTACTTCGAGCAGGAAAAAAATGGATTGAACCGCCGATATTTGTCAGTCCATTTAAATCTAAGTGAACAAAACGGAGTGAGTTCAGATACCGAATAGAAAAGTATTTGGTATTTAGCGCATCCAGTTTAAATCATGCTCTGATACCAAAATGATCTTGTTTGTTCGATGTGATCACCATCTAGACAGGTGTCATCGGACTGCAACAATCCATAAAACCGGATTGGGTAGCATATGCATGGTAATATAAAGAGAATTAGTAGCTGAATAACTACACGGAAAGTACGAGCCCAACTACAGCACCAGTTTCCGCGGGCAAAAACAAATTGGTCGCGTATCGTAGACACTATTTATCAGTAGTATATTCAGTTTACTTTGCACACTGTGGTGTGGGGAGTGGGGATAGTGAGAATCAATCAATACACCATTTATCAATACGATTAAATTGAAAATGGAAAATCACAGCCCCATGCGAATCGCGCGCGCCGAGTTCCTCGTGGGTAATGTGTGTGTGTTGGTACGGTGTATTATATTCATTTGATCCGTGCCCGGATAGTCAGACAGAGGCATGCACACACATACAAACCGACAGATGAACGACAGACAGACAAACATACAGACGGGTAGACAGACATTTCAATGTGATCGTGGGGATGACCGTGTATGTAATGTAAATTATGATAATGCTGTTGATGCTGTCAAGCTGTTGCGTAAGAACAGTGACAATGACATACGCAACGTTTTTTTAAACGAACCAAAAGAAAGGCATTGAATTAGTTCAGCAATGATGCGTGTGTATAAATGCTTCTGAAATGGAACAGACCACGAAAAAGAGGTGGAATAACGGGGGTGGGGGTGTTGTTTACCGAAAGTAACGCGGGAAATCGTAGTAGGCCGATGAAGAGTTGGAACAAGAAACCAGCGCTGCTGCTGCAGCGGCGGCGGCTGCTGTTGCTGTCGAAGACAGGGATGCCGACGACGGGGATGACAATGCGGTGGCCACAGCTTCGGAATTCGGACGTTGGCCATCAATGAGATCACCCAAGTCAAAACTCCCATGTGAAATGGACACTACTCCAGGGGTAAATGTGTTCATACCATTGGACGACATAATGGAGTTAAATCCAAAGTTGCCCAGATTAGAAGGATGTTGCATCTGTGGTGATGATGATTGGGTCAGGGTGGAATGTGAGATGCTCTGATGCTGATGTTCAGCACCGGCGAACAGGGAATTCGGTGAAATGTGTGTGGTTGTAGATGGTTGTGCCTTCGACACGGAGACTGGCACAGAAGAATAGGCTGAACTTGTGCCCCAGGCAGCAACAGCTGCAACTGCTGCTGCCGCAGCTGCGGCTGGTGAGAAACTGTGCGCCTGATCAGCAACATTGGTCACTCCTCCCAAGGGCGGGGATCCGATTCCCGAATCTGTAGACAAAGTGCTTTGTTGTGGATACGGCATTGGCCAATGAGTGGATGGACCCAGATGTTCCAGGCCATATTCAAGATCCATGACGGAGCGAGCTGGATTACGCCAGTTCTGGTCAGTTTGGTCACTGGAACAACTTTCAACACTTCCGGAGAATAATGGATCAGTTCTCCGAGGTGGGTGCGATCGTTTCATTGCGTTTTCTGTTATGTTTCCGTTCTGTTCCGGTCTAATGTACGTGTTTATCGGATGC